CAAAATTTAAAAAATTTTTTCCACCTTTAATATAAAACATAAATATAACTCTTTGAGGGTGACTAGAAAAATATAGAAAAATCCATACTAAAGAAAATACAAAACAGACCCGTTATCACACAGTGCTCCTGTTGGGCATGAAAGATGAGGGATGGCTTCAGCTCCCACCCGGCGCCGGGGGACGGCCATGAGTTATTGCCTGTCATCTCACCCTCTCCACCTTCAGGCCGTGGAGCGTCTTGGTGTGGGCAACAGAGATGACAGATAGGTTTCATCTTACATGTCAACCTGGGCATTGAGCAAGAGTCTGAGACTACAGCCAGGCTCAGTGAGAAAGATCACTGTGACCACTCAGTGTCTGCCACAGGGACAGGGAGCGGGACGGTGGCCTGTGTGCCACCTGTTCGCTGTCTCTAGACTCAGTGATGGGAGCTTGAAGTATCAGTACAGCCGAGACTGGTGTTGGGTCTCTTCAAGACTCTACTCCCAAAGTCCTAGGATCATGTTTTCTTTCTCGGTCCCTTCCACTGAAGTGCGACAAGAGCTTATGACCGAGCAGAAGGCTATTGTGGAAAGAAGACGTGGATCCTATGAAACTGAAAAAGCGAGCCTAATACAGGCTGGAGGCCGGGCTCTTCAGGGCATGAGGGGTGGAGGCAATGTGTCCTGGTGTCCCCCTTGGGCCTGGCAGGGCTGCTGGGCCAGGCAGGCTCTGGCTGTCAGGGTCCCTCTCCTTGCAATTGCACATGCTGGGGCCTGTGACAGCAGCTACATCCCACGAACCACACTCAGGTGCCCTGCCGTCCGTGACCTTTTCTAGGCCAGCGGACGCCAACCAGTGGTCCGCAGACCACCAGTGGTCCGTGAGGTCTGAAAGGTTGGCGACCGCTGGTCTAGGCAGAACTCGGACATAAGGGGAGGATAATGGGTGCCCTGGGCCTGCTGACGCTCTGGTTTATCTGCCGCTCTTTTCCCCTCCTCTCTCCCAGCCCATGAAGCCCCTGAAGGCCACAGCCACCACCTCGCAGCCCGTGCTCACCATCCAGCAGATCGAGACCATCTTCTACAAGATCCAGGACATCTACGAGATCCACAAGGAGTTCTACGACAACCTCTGCCCCAAGGTGCAGCAGTGGGACAGCCAGGTCACCATGGGCCACCTCTTCCAGAAGCTGGTGAGTGTCCCGCGGACAGGGGGTCCCTCCCCAGGGCCTCGGTGGAGCTGCTGGTGTGAGTGCGGCCAGTCAGCCCCGCCTCCTGGTCTCCTTGAAGCTTCCTGGGTCCTGGAGGGAAGCCTGGGCCTCTGCTTTATGGGGAACCTGGGTGGGCCTGGTGCCTTGACTCCCAGCCTCCCTTGGTGAAGTCTAGAATGTTCTAGGGATGCTGGAGATGGGCCGTGTGCATCCGTGCTCCTGGCAGGGACTGAGGTTCAGGTCTGCTATCCCTCCGCTGACCAAGGGGCACGTGCCTGGTGGATGGGCAGGAACTGCTCACCTGAGACCTCCCGCACTTGCCACCCTTCAGTGCGGTGTCTGAAATGACGTGTCCGTTGGGGGACTGTCAGTTCCCGCCTGCTCTGAGGACCCTGGAGAGCACTGAGAGCTCAGCCCTCCCAGCGTCGCAGGGGAGGGAAGAGCTGAGGGGGTAGCATTAGTGTTGGGAAAGGCTGGCCGAGGTCTTCTAGTTCCCAGAGCGTCTGCAGCACCTTCTGTCCTCGCTCTGTGTCTGTGTCTGTGTCTGGCTGTGTCCCCTGGAGGACCCTCAGGTCAGAACCACGGGTCCCCCACCTGGCTCTCTCCTGGGCTCATCCCCCATAACTTCTGCCAGCCCAACGGGAAGCAAGGGAGTCAGTGGCCGTTGTTCTCAGGTGTGAATGGTGGGGGGTGGGCAGCAGCACCTCTCTTCCGCCTCCTCCCCACCCCCACCCCCCGCCACCCCCGCGATGGTGGGACTGGTTGAGTGGACAGGCCTCTTTCTTACACTGGAGAAAACTCTTACTTGACTACTCCCAAGGCTTTAAGCTCAGCACGTTCAAAACTGAACTCCTTGTCTCTGAAGTTCTTTGCTGTTCTTCCTGCCTCGTCTCGGTGGGTGCTGCCACTGTCCCATCCTCCATCCACCCGTGACTCCCTTAGACTCCCCACTTGGCACTTGCCCTCCCCCTGCCCCTCCTCCCTCACTCTTACCCAGTCCTCTTCTTTTTTATTTTTAAATCTTTATTGTTGAAAGTATTACATATGTCCTCTTTCTCCCCCATCAACCCCCTCCAGCCCACCCCCACCCCCCGCCCTCCTACCCCACTGTGTGTCCATGGGTTACGCATAAACGTATACGAGGTCTTTGGTTGATTACCACCCACCCACCCATCCTCCCCCGCCTTCCCTCTGAGATTCCGCACTCTGTTCCATGCTCCCATGTCTCTGGGTCCACTCCGTTCATCAGTTTATTTTGTTACTTAGATTCCACATATGAGCGAGATCATGTGACACTTGTCTTTTGTCGGACTGACTTATTTCACTTAGCATGATACTCTCCCTCCATGCTGCTCAAAGGGTAAGAGATTCTTCTTTGTTACTGCTGCATAGTATTCTATGTTTAAAGGTTCCACAGCTTTTTTATCCACTCATCTACGGATGGGCACTTGGGCTGTTTCCAGACCTTAGCTATTGTAAATTGTGCTGCTATGAACGTAGGGCTGCATACTTTATTTTTCATTGGTGTTTCAGGTTTCTTAGGATCTATTCCTAGAAGTGGGATCACTGGGTCAAACGGCAGTTTCATATTTAATTTTTTGAGGAAACTCCATACTGTTTTCCATAATGGCTGTACCAGTCTGCATTCCCACCAGCAGTGCACTAGGGTTCCCTTTTCTCCACATCCTCGCCAGCCACAGTCCACTTCTTTCATGCTCATGGCCACCTGCTTCCCTCCACCAGCTCTGGGGCCCTCACCTGGACCGCAGCTGTAGCCTCATGAGTGGCTCCTGCCTCCAGGCCCACCTCCCCATCCACCTCCCACATCTACCTAATAGGAGAGTTATTGAGAGTCATCGAAACTCCTGGCCAGGCCTGCCCTGCTTAAATCCCTTCCGTGGCTGCCCTTGCCCACTGGATGAAGACTGGGCGCTGAGAAATGGTTAGGAGACCCTTCAAATGCAATCCTCTGTCCACACCGGGCTTTTGGCTGCAGCCGCTCCCTCCTCCCCCTGCCCCCTGTGCCCCTGACACTGAACTTTCTCAGTTCACACTGCGGGCACTCTTGACCTCTCTCTACTTGTGGCTCTAGCTGCCTGAAATATCCTTCCCTCTCTGGTCTGGCTTCTTCCCGTCAGTTCCCAGCTTAGAGGTGACCTCCTTGGAGAAGCCCTCCCCACATGCAGCCCCTATGGTATCCCCTCAGTGAGCACTATAACTGCCTGTCTCCCCAAAACCATAAGCTCATTAGACCCCCAGAACCAGCCCAGTGCTGAATGAATGAGTGAATAAGTGGATGAATGAGTGAGTGAGTGAGTGAGTGAGTACGTACACTGGGACTAGGGAGAACGTGGAAGGGATTGAGGGAGACGGCACAGGGTGTGAGGTCTGTCCTGAGAGACCAGCAGTGCTATAGGGACAAGCACAGCTTCTAGAGCAGCGGTTCTCTACCTGTGGGTCGCGACCCCTTTGGGGGTCGAACGACCCTTTCACAGGGGTCGCCTAAGACCATCGGAAAACACATATATAATTACATACTGTTTTTGTGATTAGTCACTATGCTTTAATTATGTTCAATTTGTAACAACGAAAATACGACAGAACCTAGAGATAGAACCTAGAGACAGAACCTAAAGAGAGAACCTAGCGAGAGAACATGGCAAAAGATCCTGGACAGAACCTGGCTACAGAACTTCACTGGAGAACCTAGCGAGAGAATATGGCTACAGAATCTGGCGGGAGAACCTTGCTATGCTGATCAACTGAACGCAGCCTCCATGTCATTCCTTCTTCGCCGACTCCGTCCACACCTTTGGGGACCCCTGGACCTGCTGGGGTTGGACCCCAGCAGATGAAGGCTGCGCAAGGGACCAAGGTGCCAACATGGGGTCAGCTGAAAAAGTTAACAATTGAGGCCCAGCAGATGGTAGAAAAGCAAGAAGTGGAAGCTACTCCCTCAACCATGATTCTGGCTATGTTAGCATTGGTCAGCTGCCAGTCTTGCACAGCCAAGTTCGAGGACTCTGAGTAAATCAGCAAAAGAAACTTTCATTTAGCAGAAAAATGTTGCTGTAGTTTGATTTCTCTCTTATTGCTTTGTTGCATTGGCATTGTTTTGTTAATAGCCAGAGCTTTGTTCTTGATGTTTAAGTTTTACTTTCAATATAGTAGCTTAAAAATAAAAGAAGGCTGAGATGTAGGGAGTGTCTATAGGGTTAAGCCTCGGACTGACCTGTTGGCAAAGCCACAAACAAGTCCCAGCTTAGAGGTCACAGCCCTCTTAGCATAATTAAGCTTGACCTTATGATGCTCCCTAGATCCTATCTGGGTAGCTAATGGCTACAGGAGTGCAGCAAGTGCTGCCAAAACAAGTGAAACTCACAAGAACATTGTAACTATGGTGACCACTACCTTGTTTACCTCTGGCTATAGAATAAAGGCTCAGCTTGCCCTCTAGGTCTCTCTCTGTGGCCTCAGCCAGGCACAGGAGGTCCACCTAGACCCAGCTTAAAAAAAAACACAAAAAAAACAACGAAAATACATCCTGCATATCAGATATTTACATTACGATTCACAACAGTAGCAAAATTACAGTTATGAAGTAGCAGCGAACATAATTTTATGGTTGGGGGTCACCACAACATGAGGAACTGTATTAAAGGGTCGCAGCATTAGGAAGGTTGAGAACCACTGCTCTAGAGGAAGGTCACAGCTGGGTTTGCATCCGGGTTCTGCCACAGATTGAACCTGTAACGTTAGGCAACTCACGGCAACCTCTCTGTGACTTGGATTCCTCATCTGTAAAAGTGAGGACAGTAAAAGTATTCATCTCATTGGACTCTTGGGAGGAATACCTGGAAAGTGCTGGGGACAGGGCCTGGAACATAGTCCGTTAGTAAATACTCACTAGTTAGCCATTATCATGACTGTCGTTGTTGTTATTATCACTATTATTATTATTATTATTATTATTATTATTAATATTAGGAAGAGGCCCCCTAGAAGGTGTTGTTGCAAGAGAATTCCACGCTTCTGCTTCTGGCAGCCCCAGAGTGCTCCCCAGTTCAGGGATGGCGAACGCCCAGTCATCACTCCGGCCGGGTCCCAGGAGCCTGAGCTACTCTCGTGGGGCAGCCTCACTTTAGACCTCAGGAGGCAGAAGAGACCAAATGAGCGGGTGGGAGGTGCACACCCCGGAGCAGAGTGGAAGGGCTGTCTCTGTTTGGTCACTTGGACCCTGCTGTCACCAGGGACTCCCTTCTGGTCCCAGCTCCATGGGCCTGGTCATGGGTGTGCTCCCCAACCTCCCTCCCCCAGCATCACAAACACATCTGAAGCCCCTGGGGCTGCAAGTGGGGGAGGGCCGGGCGGGGCCGGGGGCAGGCCGGGGCATCTGGAGGCAGTTGCTTTTTCCGCTGGTCTCCAGGTACTTGATTATCCATCGTGGAGAGAAGGGAATTAGCGTCTCTGCTGTTTGTTTTATGAGATCACCCCGGTGCCCAGCTGCTGTTTCCAAGCAACATCTACTTCCCAGCCAACAGCGCTGGCAGGCCGGGCCTGGGGCCTGTAGGGGAGGGTGTCCCATGGAGGTGACGGTGCCTGGGATGGCCGGTGACCCTGCGTTCGGGCCTCTGCCCGGGCTCTTGCTTCTGGCTCCCCTCCTGCTACTCCCGGAGGCGGTGGGATGGGAGGGTCGTGTTGCAACCTGGGCACCTGCCTTTCTTCTTCTCCTGGGAAAGGGGAGAGGACAATGCATATCGGGAAGAAGAATAGCAATGATTTCTACTCTGGTTTAGGAAGCAACTGTCTAGCACATTCCCGTAGCTTGAGACACCAGTGGGCCAGCACTTCCCCTGGAAAAGGAAACGAACTCCATCCCTTCCTGCCTCTCCCCATGATGATTTTTTTTTTTTTAAGTCTGGCCTGTCTGGGGGCTGAGACCTGCATGGCTCTGATCTTGTCTTCTCTATAAGCCTCCTGGTTCTCACTTTCCCCTCTGGCTTTCCTGGGCCCCGCCACCAGCTTCCTCGTGCTCTGTGTCTGCCCAGGCTGCTCCAGGCCCCTGGCCTCACCTCTTTGGGTCCTTGAGGAGCGCACGGATTCTGCAAAAAAAACTGAGTGGTCCAGGGTAGGGCTTAGAGGCAGGCACTTTCCCCAGCACTTGGGTAGGAGCCCTGAGGAAGCCCCACAGAAGCGGAGCCAGCTTGCTATATCACTGAAAAAAATTTAAACCAGAAAGTCTGGAGAATAATGTAGCTAACAACTGTATGCTCCCCTACCAGAATTAACAGGTGTTAAGCTCTGGAGATATATGGCAGAACTTCTTTTTTTTTTTAATCTTCACTGGAGGATATATTTTTTTAAATTAATTTTTAGAGAGAGAGGAACGGGGAGGGGGAGAGAGAGAGAGAGAGAGAGAGAGAGAGAGAGAGAGAGAGAGAAACATTGATGTGAGAGAAACATTGTTCAGTTGTCTCCCATACGTGCCCTGACCGGAAATTGAACCCGCAATCCTTAGGTGTATGGGACAATGTTCCAACAACTGAGCCACCCGCCGGGGCTATGGCAGAACTTTTTAAGTAAAAAAAAATAGAGCAAAAAAGAAAAAAAGCATTACAGATGAAGATGCAGTCCGTCCCCTTCCCCTTTCCTCTTGTCCTTCTCTTCCACCTAGAGCAGCTGCTGGCAGGCATTTGACAGGTAGCCTTCTAGGCTACAGTTTGTGTTTTTGCTACATATCTGTATCTTTTTATGGCATTGCACGTACTTTTTAAATAATATTTATATTTTGCAATTCAGTCAGCATTTGTTTTGAAGCTTGTCGGTGCTGCTACTCCCGAGGGCAGTGGGATGGGAGGGCTGGGTTCCAGCCTGGGCACCCAGCCTTTATCCTTCTCGTGGGAGAAGGGACGGGAAGATGCATTAGGACCCTTGCCTGGTGCTGATTTATACCCCACAAGCAGCATGTAAAAGCTCCTATTTCCCCACATTCTTGCCAACCCTTGATACCATTAAATTTTGGCCAGATGGATGGGTGTGAAATGGTATTTTATTGCAGTTTTAGCTCTCGTGTCCACCCTTTGCTCCCTTAAGAGGAAGTGCGCACGCACAGCACAGAGAACGCTTTCCGTAAATATTTGAGGGACTGAGTGGCTGATCCTCGGTTTCCCCTTTTGCAGAAAGGGATGGTGGCATCTGTTCTGCCTCCCAGAGGAGGCGAGGCTCTGTGTGGTCACGAGTCGTGCAAAGCTCTGCGTTAGGTTCAGTGTGACACACGTGCACGTGTGTAGGGAGGCAGGGCCCCTGGCTCCTCAGAGGCCGAGGGCAACGGGACAGGGACCTAGAGGCTGAGGGAAGTGGGGACTGTGCCTTTAAATGCAGTCCCTCACTCTTAGCATGGGGAGCGGAACCCTGAGCAGGCCACACCCACACGTGCCCACCCCACTCCTCCTCTGCCTCTCCCTGCTCCCGCTAATTCCAGAATGTGAGAGAGGCGTGAGGCATCAAGGGGCTTCAAACCCTGAGAGACCTTGATGATGCTAAATAAAGCCAAATGCTGCCGATGAATTGGATTTCTAGCGTGCCAACAAAGACCCTATCCTGCTCCCCCTAATCCCCAGCACCCCCTTGTTAACCTTATTGGCTGAGCTAGTTTCCATGGAAACTGTCAAGTTCAGAGGGATACTGTGGTAGATGCATCCCGCCTTCCCGCTCTGTCCCCAGCTAGCCCCTTGGAGCCGAGTTAGAAGTTTGAGCACTGAGGGAGCTCCAGGTGCTCTGGTTAAGCTCTCATCCATTCATTAATCCTCTCTCCCCACCCCACTCCCGCCCTCCTCTCTCCCTCCTCTCTCTCCCCCGCAGGCCAGCCAGCTTGGCGTGTACAAAGCGTTTGTGGATAACTACAAAGTCGCTCTGGAGACCGCGGAGAAGTGCAGCCAGTCCAACAACCAGTTCCAGAAGATCTCCGAGGTGGGCAGCTCCCTGCACAGCCGACCCCTGACTCAGGGCCTTCCAGCCTTTGGGCCTCTCCTTTCCTGCTTTCCGGTTAGGGCAGCGGTTCTCAACCTGTGGGCCGAGACCCCTTTGGCGGTCGAACGACCCTTTCACAGGGGTCGCCTAAGACCATCCTGCATATCACATATTTACATGACGATTCATAACAGTAGCAACATTACAGTTATGAAGTAGCAACGGAAATAATGTCATGGTTGGGTCACAACATGAGGAACTGTATTTAAAGGGCCAGAAGGTTGAGAACCACTGGGTTAGGGGAACGGTTCCCCGGATGGGTCCCCCTTAGCCTGACATTTGCTTTCGTGCACTTGACATTTACCCTCTTCGTGTAAGAACACCAGTTTGTTTGATTTTTTTTGTCGTTGTGTTGTAGGTTTTTCTGTGTTAGAACAGAGGAGGCAAAAAAATAAAAATAAAAGCAAAGGAAAAAGGCAGTATTTCCCACACGGCAGTGACCTTGAGCAAGTCACTTCCCTTCCTTTGTCTCTATAGAAGGAGGTGTCTGGATTCCTCCACCTCGTGCCAGACTTGCTTGGTAAAAACCACAGGGACACAGGCACCTTCCCGGGAAATTCAGACCAGAAGGTTTGGGGTGGGGCCCAAGAGTCTGTTTTTAATAAGCTTCCCGGGTGATTTTTGTGTCAGGAAGATTGGAGGAAGTCTGGGCCAGGTGGTCTTTTCAGATCCTTGCAACCCCACACACAGAGAGGACGGGGCCGCATCGGTGGAGAAGTTGCAGATCCTCTAGCTCAAGCATGTCGAGCTCCCGGCGGCGGGCCGCATGTTTGAAACAAGCTTGCTCTAGCTGGGCATACGCCTGTCCCTGCTGCTGCAGCTCAGCCTCCCCTCCGTGCTCCTCCCCTCCGCGGGGCAAAGATGTGGCATTGTCCGCCATCGCCATTTCTGTCTCTCCAGGAAGTGGCAGGGTGGGCTCTCGGAGCCTCCGGGAGCACAGCTCAGCTCACCCTTTTAGCCAGAAAGATATCAGTGACAGCCCCAAGCCGCTGGCCTCGCAGGCCGAGCACCGAGCTCCGGGCTCCGGGCTAGAGGACCTCGGGTCCCAGGGGTGGGGAGCTCCGTCTGCAGTTCTGGAGGCCCTGCCTCACCGTCCCCTCGGGACCCTTTGCTTTCTCGTCTCGGCTCTGATGCCAGGAACGTTGGTGAGATGCAGCATAGTTTTCATGAAATGTCTGGAGTTATGGGTTATAAGTTTGAAACTGACCTAGAGGCAGCACAAGAGTCGGACGGTGGGAGCTGAAAATGTGAAATGGGTCACCAGTAAAAGCCGGATTGGAAACATGGGCGCTTGGATCGGTGGCCACCTTGGGCTTGTGGAACCCAGCTACCGGGGGCAGCAGGGGGCTGGGCTCAGGTTCTTCTCCCAAACCCAGGGGTCAGGGAGTCACCCTGAGCCTCAGAAGACGCAGCGAGGCGTAGGGAAGTCCCTCTGTGCTGAGTCACGAGGCCGGAGACACGGTGCTTCCCCTCACGGCTCCCAGTTCTCCTGGGAACAAACTGGATTCCCCCCCACCCCCCCGCCCCGTTCAGAGAGGCCTGCCATGGGTGCCTGGGTGCCTGAGCCCTATATGGCCCACAGGGGGTCTCCTCTTAGCCTGGGCTGACTGCCCATCCTCTGTGGTCAGCAGAAGCCCTTGCTCACCCCCAAGCCCCTCTCGAAGCCTGCTGGCTCCAAGGGCAGAGGCAGGCCCATGGTCCGAGGCCAGTGGCTTCTCACCCTGGCTGATGGGCTGACACTGGCGTTTCCTCCTGGCGCTGCCACTTAATTACTGCAATCAGGCCCTCCTCTCTCCACGGCACGAGTGACGTCATACCTCTGGGCTGCACTGGAGTGGGGGGCCCGAGGAAAATTCCTAAAGCTGGGAATCCAGACTCCAGCCAGAGATGGCCTTGAGGAGCTGGGTACCCCCTTCTCCCTTCTGTCTGGGCATCTCCTCCCCCCAGGCAGAGCGGGCAGTATCACCCGGTGCCTGACCTTGGCCTCACCTCACTCCCGCCTTCCCCCCACCCCCGTTGGAGGCCCCGACTCTGTGCACTCAGCCCTGGAAGTGGGGATTGCATTACAGCTCCAGTTACAGGCCACACTGGCCCGTTAGCATGGGCTGGAGCTGGGCCTCTCTAAGGGCAGATAAAGAGGTTTGGCTCAGATAAGCTGCCGGGGAGTCTGTCTCCAGCCCTCACCGCCCGTCACTTTGCAGGGGACCCAGGGGGTGTTGGCTCTTCCTCCCTTGCAATTTCCTCTCTAAGGCCTAGCGCAGGCTCCAGAGGGTGGGGAGTGTCGGGTGGGGTGGGGGCTGGGTGAGTCTCCCCCCATAAGGGTAAGGTGGAGCTCGGACTGCCCTGGGGACTCGGCCTCTTGGCCCCAGTGCACCACCCCCATGTCCCCCCTGTTCTGTGCAGATGTGTGGGACCCCTCACTCCTTCTCCCAAGAGCTGCTCATGCCCCCAGGAGCAGCTGGTGTGCCAGCTGCTTGTCCAAACAAACCCTGTGTGCCCTGGGCTGTGTGCACCCCTAAGTGTGGGCTGGGTGGGGGCGGGGCCCTGCTCCTGCCACCACTCATTCTCTGGAAGTTGCAGGGGAGGGCCTTGGGGACAGGTCCGAGGAGCACCATTATGGAAATCCAGTCTGTTACCTAGAGCCCCCCCTGCCCACACCCTGCTGCTGGCCTCCACGAGGCTCCCGGGGACCGTGGGTGTGCACAGGGCGTCCAGGTGACAGCCAGGCAGAGGGAGGCTCTCGCCTGTTGGTCTGTGTCTCTCCTACGTTTCGTACCCCTGGATGTCCGATCATTCTTTGCGCCCTGCTCACAGTGGGTGGGCAGGCTCCAGGACGGGCCAGGCAGTGATTCCTCTCCTCTGTTTGGCAGGAACTCAAGGTGAAAGGTCCCAAGGACTCCAAGGACAGCCACACGTCGGTCACTATGGAAGGTGCGTGGGGGGGGCAGGCTGGTTAACAGTCGCCGTCCTTTGTCTGGCTTTGTGGACGACGGTGCCCTGCTTGTGTGAGCGTGTGCACGTTCGTGTGTGAGGGTGTGTGAGCGCGCACACAAGGAATCAGCCTCTGTCCCCGGCAGCCAGCCAGCTACAAACGTGCTCCTCCTTAGGAAGCCAGCGACAGCTAGCTCCCCTCCTCCCCCTCCTCCCGCGTGCTCCTCTCCCTCCCCTTCCCTCCCCTCCTCTGTTCTCCCCTCCCCTCTCCTCCCCTCCCCCTTGCTAGAGGAGCACTCTGAAGCGGCTGCTTGATTCCGGAGGCTGTGCAGCAGCAGCGTGCAAGGTGGCTGAGTGGCTGGGCTGCTGATGGGAGCTGGGAAGCGATGGCCACAGGCTCCCGCCGTGGGGACAGAGGCTGCCATGGAAATTCTCCTCATCATCCGCTTCTGCTGTAACTGCACCTATGGTAACCCAGGCTCCCTCTCATGGGAGGTGCTGTGTCTTCCCACCTTTGGGGGGCTGGCTGGAGTGGGCTTAAATGTGGCCGTCAAGGTTTGGGGAGCAGCAGGGAAGGGAGGGGACGCAAGTGGCTGGATCTCTGTTCTGGCCAGCTTCCAGCCTGAGATTGAAGTCTGGGGGCCACTCCGGGCAGGGATGGTTTAGAAATGGAGGGGCCAGGCTAGAAGGTCCAGGTACCACCCCCCCCACCCCCCACCCCCACACACACCCCCAAGATCGGCGAGGAATTGGTGGCTTAGCTTGAGAGGCTGTGTGCAACTTCCTGGAGAGGCTGTTAAGGACAGAAAGTGACAAGACTGTACCCGCGGGTGTGGCAACCTGGGCTGGAGAGGGGTCCTCGGGGCCAGTCGGAGAATGACAGGTGGCCTGGGCAGCAGTGCCCTGCGCGGGGAGGGTGCCAGCCCCTGGGAGAGTGAGAAGTTGGGAGTTTCTTTGTTTCCAGGGAGAGGAGAGGAGGCTGAGCGGCCAGGGTATTGTGTGCTCAGAGCGCACATGCTCCTAGAGGAGATGGTCTCTCCCCTCAGAACAGGGCGGTGGGGAGAGCGGGGAGGGAGGGGAGGGAGGGGGTTTCTGGCCACGGGAGACCTGGGGCCGAGGTCTTGGCACTTAGTGGCAGGGAATGCTGGCGGGCAGGGGGCGTGGCAGCCGAGTGCTTTGTGAAGGTCGCTCACCCACCTTACAATGGAAGGGATCGGAGTACTATCCTCTTTGCCGTTTTTTTGTGTGTGTTTTTTCCAGCCAGGGCGCCCTGGGACAGGCACATGCTGTCAGCCAGGCTCTGGCTCTAAGGAGGCTGATGTGGGGCTAGGCAAGCAGGTGGCGGAAGCCGGGTCCTGTTCTCGGAGGCAAGAGTCGCCTTTGGTCTGACCCAGGCTGCCTTTGGCAGGGGCCCGGGGTCCAGTGTGACTGCTGGGCGCCGGTGTTGGAATGGCCCTCTCTTCCCTCCCACCAGGCGTTTTGTGTCTGCACCCTTCCCGGTCACTTTGCTTTCACATCTCCGTGGTAACCTGGAGCTCCTTGTCAAAGGCTGAAGGGGGTGGGTACAGGTACAGTTCGCTGGAGGAGAGACGATGGGGCGTCCTGGGCTCTTTCCCAGAGACCTCTGTGCCTAGCCTTCTCCTGGGTCCTGTGTCCAGGACTGCTCGTGATGGAGGCAACCCTGGGCAGCTTCTTCGGGGAGTCTGGTCACTGGGCAGAAGCTGCCCTGGGCGCCGGTCCCTTAGCTTAGATTCGGACAGGCCAGGGTTGAGCGGAGCGTGGACTTGAACTAGCCTGTTTGAAGATCAGAGGGAAATGCGCTTTTGATCTGGCCTAGGGGTTGGTCAGATCTCAGCTCTGCCTCCCTGAAAGGGAGGGGTCAGCCCTTGGCTTCCTCTTTCCTCCCCAAAAGGAAGCTTCGTCTTAGTGACCCAGGCCTGGGACCTGCACTTCAGGGTTCCTCCGGCCCCTGCGATGCTGCCTTTGAAGTCAGCGTCGTCGTCACCGTGGGGAGTGAGGAGTGAATGCGCCCTTGCTGAGCACACTGTTCAGAATCTTCTCGGCCCCTGGCCCCTCCCGGGGATGCTGGCTCTGGGGGTCCCACGGAGACTGTGCAACTTGGGGCTCCCTCCGGCGGCGATGTCTGCCTTCGTGGTTATTTGCTGAGCTCTTCGGGGCTCCGTGCCAGATTCTGTGAGGGTGGGGGGGTGTGAAGGGAAGTCATGCGTGGCCCAGGCCCCTAAGGAGGGGGCTCGCCTTGGCAACAAGAGAGGCCGGCTTGCCCGCTCCTTCCGGGTGCAGCTTTCCAAGAGCAAGTTATCTAACTTCCCTGTGCCTTGGAGAAGTTTCCTCATCTGTGAGATGGGGCTAGCGATAATTCCTTCCCTTTTTAGTCCAAGGAAAGCATGCATAGAAGACAGTGCCATCAGACACAGAGCCAGGTCCCCAGCAGGCTAGAGGGAGCCAGCTTGCTCGTGGCAGTGGTCTGACTTGTAGACACTGTGGGTTTTGTTTGCAAAAGCCCTGGTCAGGGAAGGCTTCCTGGAGGAGGGGGAGAGGCAGGTGTTGCAATGTGAACGGTGTCTGTTCTGGGAACAGGCGAGGAGCGGGGAGAGCGGGAGAAGCAGGGGCAGGAAGGCGGCGGGACAGGCGAAGGGGGAAAGGTGGGCTCCGTGCCTGCATGCTCAGGGGAAGCAGGCGTAGCGGAGCCGGGAAAGCATGGACATCAGGCCGCTCTCCCTCCCCTGGTTCCTCCCACATGCGGCTGTGTCCCCCGGGCCTTCTCCCTGCACGTCCCTCTCCCCTCGCTTCCGCCAGCTGCCCTTCCCTCCACACCCCCATCAGGTGGACTTGGGAGGTGACTACAGGCATATTAATAACCCCCGTGAAACCCAACCCACCATTGTGCAGACCTCTGAGCTTAGTCAGAAACCTCTACCCCCCGGGACCCGACCGAGGGACCGAGGGAGCTGACGCCGCACGATCAGCTTTCCCTGAGCGAACGCCAGGCCCGCCCGGGCAGGTGTCCGCTGAACTCGCACTTTCTCTGGGGTCTCTGGGCCGCTCAGGGTGTGATTTCCCCCCGGGATGAGCTGAGCCGCAGGTGGATTCCCTAAACAGCCTCAGGACTGGGTCCCCCCTGGGCTGATGATGGGGCTCTCCCCCCACTGTCCCGGGATACCCCAAGCCTGTCCTGTCCCTTCTGGCTCCCATCGTCCATGGGGAGGGGTTCTAGACGTTGCTAAATGAAGAAAGGGCTACAAATGAGTCATAGGAAGTATGTGTGCATAAAGTAGTGGTTTTCAGTCATTCCTCTATTGGAATTAGCAAAGGCGCTTTTTAAAAATACTGAGCCCTGGCTGGTGTGGCTCCATTGGTAGGAGCATTGTCCTGTACACCGAAAGGTTGTCGGTTCGATTCCCGGTCAGGGCACATACCCAGGTTGTGGGTTCATTCCCTGTTCAGGACAGCAACTGATCAATGTCTCTCTCTCTCTCCCTTTCTTTCCCCCTCTCTCCCTCTCTCCTTTCATCCCTCCCTCCCTTCCTCCCTCCCTTTCCTTTCCTCTCTTTCTAAAGTCAATAAAAACATATCCTCGGGTGAGGATTTAAAAAATGCCGGTCCCCAGGTTCCAGCCGGCGGAGTTTGGGCTTTAGTTGCTGCCGTGAGGAGAGGGAGGCTGGCAGCCGTGTCTTTTAAGAGCTCCCCAGTGATTCGAACGGGCAGCCAAGCAAAGACTGCAGATAAGGCCCGTGGCCCACCACCGAGCCCGTCCTCCCCACAGCCGGCAGACTGTTCCCCAAACGTCTGCTTAGCCACACACAGGGCGGTTCCATCCTGGGCTTTGGGGGACTCTGGTGGTTGGAGGGCTGAGCGTCAGCTCTGAGACCTGTCACAGCCTGGCCCTGTGGGGCACCCCGTCTAGGGTCCTCCTCCCCAAACCGGCATCCTGCCTCATCGCTCCCATGGCCGGAGGACAGAGGTCACGACCCCATGGCCAGAGGCCTCCAGGTGCAGGACCGAGGCCGAACCCCCGTGTGGGAGAGGCCGGCACAGCTGCTCGAGCAGCAGGCAGCTCCGTTGGGAAGTACTGGTCGGCCAGCTGCCGCTTCCACCTGTCTCTGCTGAATCCCAGCCATCCTCGCTCCGTGTCCTGGTCACCAAGGGGTGTGGCGAAGAGGGGCCCTGCTGAGCTTGCGTTTTTCTGTCTCTTCGGAGCTCCCAGAGGCCCCACAGGCATTCCTTCAGGAAATCTCTGCCCCCTCAGCTGCCACTGGCCGCTTGCAGACCCTCTCTGTGGGGAGCTGGCCTGCCTCCCTCAGCCTGGCCTGTTTCGTCGGGGGTTTGAGTGCGTGGAGATGGGTCTCCCCATGGAGAGGAGGCTGACTGTGGGTCAGAGGGAGCCTGCCATTTCCAGCTGTGGTGCCGGGCCGTGGGCCAGAGGAGTCAGAGTGATCAGGCTGGGGGGAGCTGCCCTCCCTGGAGGAGCAGCGTGTCTCCTTCCACATTCCGGGGTCCCAGGTGTGACCCCGAGTGTGCTGGAGCTCTGGAGGGCGAGGCTGGACACAGGGGTGCGATTCGGGAAGGGGCGTATAGAGGAGCACCTGCACCTGCTCTGAGCCCGGTCAGGCCAGGGCAGGTCTAGAGACGGCCCTGGAAGAAATGACATGTGGCGGGAGGGGCCCCGGCTGCCAGGGCTGTGTGTCCGCCTGCCGTGCGGCCTGGCCTGCCTGGGGTGAGCGTGGAGCTGCAGGTTGCTGCGGAACCCGCCTGTGGGGGTGTGTGTCCGTGCGGGGGAGGGAGGCGGGTCGGGGAGCAAGACTGGTTCCTGAGGCCTCAAGCTGCTCCTGACTTCCTGTGTCCTGTCTCCTCCCTGCCCTCCCCGACAGCTCTGCTCTACAAGCCCATCGACCGCGTCACCAGGAGCACCCTGGTCCTGCACGTGAGTGTCAGCCCCTGCACGGCCGGGACCGGTCAGGACCCATGGGAGACCGAGCCCAGGGTGGGAGGTGCTGGAGTCACTGAGAACAGCCCATTTGGGAAACTGGGCGGAGGGTCCCTGGACCCCTGCTTGCTGCCTGGCCTGTGGAAACCACGTCAACCGGGCCAGGGCCTACATATAACTGGGCTACTCAGCTTGACATTTGGCCAGATGCACCCTGGGAGGCAGGCACTTCCTGCCGCCCCACCCCTTGGCTGACGGTCCCCAGTGTCCTGGGAGCAACTGTGGGTGGTCAGATGGGTGTCTCTCCCAGCTGCTGGGTGAGATGAGGCTCCACCTGGCTCCCCCACACCCCAGGGCGAAGAGTAACGACGTCAGCAAAACAAAGACGCACCACTGCCTTCACCCCTGCTGCTGCCCCTAATTTTAGTTCAGATTTTGCAGGCCTGACCGGACTAGAGTGTGGGTCCCTGCGTGCCCCCCTCGGAACTCTTCTAGTGAGAATGGAGTGCTCCCCACTGTCTTCTTATTAAGCCCCAGAACTCCTCTCAACTCACCACCCCACCCCTCTCCTCCCCAGGACCTGCTGAAGCACACGCCCGTGGACCACCCCGACTACCCGCTCCTGCAGGACGCCCTCCGCATCTCCCAGAACTTCCTGTCCAGCATCAATGAGGACATTGACCCCCGCCGGACTGCTGTCACAACCCCCAAAGGGGAGGTGAGCTCAGGACCCAGCACAGCCTCTCACCCGGCAGGCCAGGTCACCCACCCCTGCTCCCCTGACGCTCGGGCACGCCGCCCTGTGCCCCTCCAGCCTGATCCCTCATTCCCAGCCCTGGAGAGGCCTTCGGGCCCGGGGCTAACAGCTTCAAGCCCAGTGTCTCATTCATCTTCATGATCCTCTGCTGCAGCAGAAGGGGAAACTGAGGCCTGGGGAGTCTCTCCAGGTCTGGCACACGATCCCTTAGCCACCGTGTCAGAGCTGGGTTCTTCAGCGGGGATTATCTGTCTGCAAGCCCCATGCATGTCCCCATGCCAGGGACTTGGTGGGCTCTGCCCATCTCATTCTTGAATGCAACCCCCTCATGGGTAGTATGGTGTCCTCAGGCCCAACCTGGACGGCAATGGCTCAGTCTGAGGGAGCTCGGGAGTCGGGGGGAGCTCGGGGAGTCGGGGGAAGTGGGAGCTCCAAGCTGCCTCTGATCAGCCTGCACGAGCAGGTGGGAGAAACTAAGGAGGGAGCCCCATAGCAGGAAAAGCTGGTGGCAGCCAGGTTACTGGGATGTCCCAGGTGGGCACCTAGAGGTGGCACAGCAGTTCCAGTTCCCTGGGGCCCTTCTTGGCAGAAGGGTGGCGGGGGTGGGAGGGCAGTGGAGGGAAGCAATTTGAAGAATCAGAGACAGGTACGGCACGGGTCAGCAGCCTAGCCCACATACAGCCTTCCGGTGCAGGAGAGGTAATGAAGTGGTGGTTAGGAGCGCAGGCTGGCTGGGTTTATGCTCCTTTGTTACATTTACGAGTCCCCAGTGTCTCCTGCGGAGGGAGGGAGGGAGGGAGGGACAGGATCTAGAGAGTGACTAATGGGCTGTCCCCGCGCACAGCTCCCAGCCCTGGTTTGCAAACGCGGGAACAGCACTGGTTTGTTTGACTCCGGGGAGGGAAAGCTCTGCGGAGGGCTCACAGCACTGGCAGTGTCAGATCGTTCCGATGGCGTACCTTCCACAGGCTCACCTGATGTGGTAGCACAGGTGGCTCACGTGGTGTACAACCCACGGAAGGCGGGGACAGATGTGGACAGCCCCGGGATTCTGCTGCTCCTGAGGGTGGCAGGGAGGAAACCGGGAGTCCTGCTCTTGACCATCAGCGCCCAGGTGGGAGGTGGCCGCAGGTTCCCGAGGACACGGCTGCAGCCCCACAGAGGGTGGCCAGGCCTCCCCTCCATCTGGGGCGGGTGAAGAATTGACTCCGAGGTAGCAGCATCAGCAGCCCTGAGAGGGTCTGCAGGTCGAGTCGGACTGAAGCTAGAACGACTTCTTAGGCAGGGTTGTGGGGTGGGGGTGGGGGTGTTCATGCTCCAGGGTAGAGGAATCCGGTCACCGGAGCTCGGGTCCATCTGGGTGGGAGCTGTTGAGAGCTGCGGAAAAGTGTAAAGGTACCATGGTTTGGTTTTGTTTTCTAATCCTCACCCAAGGATATTTTTCCATTGATTTTTAGAAAGAATGGGAGAGAGGGAAAGACAGAGAGAAATATCGATGTGAGAGAAACATTGATTGGTTGCCTCCTGCACGTGCCCCAACCCGGGACTGGGCCGGGAAGGAGCCTGAAACCAAGGTACATGCCCTTGACCAGAATCGAACCTGGGACCCTTCGGTCCGCAGGCCGATGCTCTATCCCAGCCGTGGGCAAACTACGGCCCGTTTGAAATGAATAAAACTAAAAAAAAAAAAAAGACCGTACCCTTTTATGTAATGATGTTTACTTTGAATTTATATTAGTTCACACAAACACTCCATCCATGCTTTTGTTCCGGCCCTCCGGTCCAGTTTAAGAACCCATTGTGGCCCTCGAGTCAAAAAGTTTGCCCACCCCTGCTCTATCCACTGAGTCAAACCGGCTAGGGCTAAAGTTACCATTGTCGATCCACAGAATGTGCTGGGCACTGGGGCCATTTTGCATAAACCAGTTTTGATGATTCCTTCCTTATGGGCTGACATCATCATCCCTCAGTTTAACTGAGATTAAGAGAGGTCAGGGGACTCGCCCGATATCTCAGCTGGGAAGTGGCAGAGTCTAGATCAGGGGTGGGCAAACTTTTTGACTCGAGAGCCACAATGGGTTCTTAAACTGGACCGGAGGGCCGGAACAAAAGCATGGATGGAGTGTTTGTGTGAACTAATATAAATTCAAAGTAAACATCATTACATAAAAGGGTACAGTCTTTTTTTTTTTTTTTTAGTTTTATTCATTTCAAACGGGCCAGATCCGGCCTGCGGGCCGTAGTTTGCCCACGGCTGGTCTAGATTCAAGCCCATGCCCATGTGACCACCAGGCACTGTGGCCCCTCCCTGCAGCCCACCCCCCTGCTGGATGGTGCCCCTAGTGCCTGCTGGGCCCTGGGCTGACCCCCCCTGAGCAGGCGGGCGGGTGTGCATCTCCCTTAGACGCGGCAGCTGGTGAAGGACGGCTTCCTGGTGGAAGTGTCGGAGGGCTCCCGGAAGCTGCGGCACGTCTTCCTCTTCACAGACGTCCTACTGTGCGCCAAGCTAAAGAAGACGTCTGCGGGGTGAGTCTGTGTGAGGCCAGGGTGCGAAGTTGGGGGAGGAACTAGACCAGTGATGGCGAACCTTTTGAGCTCGGCGTGTCAGCATTTTGAAAAACCCTAATTTAACTCTGGTGCCGTGTCACATATAGAAATTTTTTTTATCTTTGCAACCATAGTAAAACAAAGACTTATATTTGTGATATTTATTTTATATATTTAAATGCCATCTAACAAAGAAAAATCAGCCAAAAAAATGAGTTCGCGTGTCATCTCTGACACGTGTGTCATAGGTTCGCCATCACTGAACTAGACCCATCCTGCTGCCCCCTGTAGAACCCCTTTAGCAAGCTGGGGCAATCTGCATAGTTGTTCCTGTTAAAAACATATTAATTAATTCCATTTTACTGCATAGCCTTTTTCTAAAAATAAATTGTTTTTAATTATAAAGATAATATAACCAAATTACAGACAAAAAAACCCATCACCCATCGGAACATAAGCATCAGTCTCCTGCTGCTATATTTCCTTTCGGTTTTTTTTTTTTTAATGTCCTTATGTTTTTTCATATACTTGTAATCAGAGTGAATACCCAATTTGGGGCTCTGCGTTCTCCATTTCACGTCATAAGCATTTTCCCTGTGGCTGCCTAATCTTCATAATCATCGTTTCACTTTCCTGCGTGATGTTACGAGTGGATATGCCGTGATTTCCTTCGGCATTCTTCTTTTATCGGACAGCTCTACGTTTTTGCTAACTACGAGTCAGTGAATATTCATTAAATCCGCTGCTGTCATTTTTGTTGAGTGGTTCTGCCCTGCCAGGTGTCATGACAAATGCTTTGAATAGATTATTTCTCATCGTCCCAACAGCTCTATACAGTAGGTATTATTGTCCGCATCTCACGGACAGAAAAGACTTAGGGTAGTCACAGAAGCTGCCCAAGGTCGCACACCTGCGGGTGGAGGAGATGGGATTTGAACCTCACTCCAGCCTGGAAGCCTGTGTCCACCTCACCTCCATCTCTGTACCTAGTGAGATGGGTCCCCTCTGCGCCACGAGCAGAAAAGGTTATTCAGTATTCACCCCACCTTCTTTCCCCTACTGTGTGCCAAGTACGCTCGCTCACAGTCAGTCCACACGCTAGACAGTGAGTAACACTAAGGGACCAGGATGAGATGTGCAAACCTCGGCTCTGGGGGAGGTGAGAGGAGGAGAGGTTGTCACTCCCTGGAACGAGACCTGAGATTACTCTAAAGCAGAGATGGCCGTCCTGAGCAAGCGCACGAATGCCTTCAGCCCTTTGCCCGTGGCAGACATTACTATGAGCCAGTGCGCTGTTGCACACCGGGCTTGAACGTGGCTTTACAATCCTCCACCCGGTACCCCCTGGGACCTCTATGGATCAGAGTGGGCATTCAAAATAACATTTATATTCCATCTCTAGCCTAAAGGGTAATGAGTGTGAGCTAAGTACAGATAGGCTGGCAGGGAGGGGAGAGTGTGGGGCGGGCAATAGTTAAGTGTGAGGTTTGGGATGCTGCCTGCCCCGGAAGCCTGTCCCTCCCCCCCGTGTGTGGTTCCTGATTGGGCTCCTCGGGGACAAGGGATCGCTTTTGCCTGTGACGAGTTCTCGGTAAACGCTTCTCGGTAAACGCTTCTCGGTGGTTTTAGGGTCTAGCAGTTCAGGCTCAAAGAGCCAAGTTCCTTCTGGCTCATGCCTTCCTCTGGCTTGTGTGCAGGAAACACCAGCAATATGACTGCAAATGGTACATCCCTCTGGCCGACCTCGTGTTTCCGTCCCCCGAGGAGTCGGAGGCCAGCCCCCACGTGCACCCCTTCCCAGACCACGAGCTGGAGGACATGAAGATGAAGATCTCCGCCCTCAAGAGTGAGATCCAGAAGGAGGTGAGCAGAGCCTGGCGTCTGAGCTGGGACAGGAAGTTGGCTGTTTTTATTGGGGGCCCTTTGAACCGGTGTGCGAGGAGAGGTGCGAGGTGCGGGCAGGGGAAGTTGTAAGGGTTGGGAGCCTGATAAGGAGGGAAGATGAAAGAGTAGGAGGCCTCAAGCACAATGCTTAGGGAAAGGCTTTGATGGTGGCAGATTAGCACTGAGCAGATGGAGGCCGGCAGCCCAGGAGTCAGCGCTCAGAATTTAGTGGGGCTAATTACGGGAAATTTCCCGGAGAACAGTGTAAATCAAACACTAGAAAAGGGAAGCAAGAGAAGAAGGCCGTCTTAAGGAAAAGCAGGATGTGTATGAGAGAAAGGACCTGGGAAGCCTCAGACACTGACAGATCAAGGAGGCAAAAACGAAGGAGCGAAGGGCCTTGAATATCAGTTCACGCACTTGGTCTAAAAATGCGCAGAAGCTTGCGCCCTGACAGAGAATTGAGATTCTTGCCAAACACGGGAAACGTTCACCAACACTTAACGTGTATTAGGCTGCAAGTGAAATCTCAATTTTTATTTTAACTTTTTAAAATATATTTTTATTGATTTCAGAGAGGAAGGGAGGGAGAGGGGAGAGAGAGATAGAAACACCTATGATGAGAGAGAATCATGGATTGGCTGCCTCCTACACACCCCACACTGGGGATCGAGCCCACAACACAGGCCTGTGCCCTGACTGAGAATCAAACCATGACCTCCGGATTCATAGGTCAGTGGTCGGCAAACTCATTAGTCAACAGAGCCAAATATCAACAGTACAACGATTGAAATTTCTTTTGAGAGTCAAATTTTTTAAACCTAAACTATATAGGTAGGTACATTATCATTAACTTAATTAGGGTACTCCTAAGCTGGCCTTTCCTAAAAACGTCCTCAATCTGATTGAGGTACGTTCGCTGAGGTCGACCCCTTCCAACTCTCCCATCCACACTCGTCTTGTATGCTTGTTTCGTCTATCTCCTTTCCGAAAACCGACTTCTGCACATGGGCCACGAAGTTTCAATCGCACTGTACGTATGCACCCGCATGTGGTATTCTGTGGAAGAGCCACACTCAAGGGGCCAAAGAGCCGCATGTGGCTCGCGAGCCGCAGTTTGCCGACCACTGTCATAGGTCAGCGCTCAACTACTGAGCCACACCGGCCGGGCAGAAATGTCAATAAAAAATAAAAAAATTGGTAGCATACCAGTTATGTTCACAGATCACAGTGCAGTAAAACTAGAAATCAACAATTAGAATGTACTTAAGGGTAAGCCTAGAAAGCTAAAACTTTCAGGGTACGGAGGAAATCAAAATTGCAACTGCAGACTGTTTAGAACTGCAGGAACATGAGCGCACCACATGTCAGAACCCATGGGATGTAGCCACAGTGCCATTTTCAGGAAAATGCAGCCTTAAATTCATGTATTTGAAAGCACCCAGGAGGAGCCTGCCCCATAAATGGCAGGTGGGGCATGGAGGGGCTTGTTTGGTTGGCCTGATCTCTTCCTCACCCATCCAGGCTCTGCTGGGGCCCTCACCTCCTCCGGGGAGCCTTCCCTGATAGCTACCCACTGCAGTTTGGGTTGGGTGCCCGACTTCCTGGTTCCTGATGTTTGCCTCTTTGCTTTATAGGTACTGCTTTCCCTCACTCAATAGGCTTTGAACTCTAGCGAGAGACTCTGTTAATTCAGTTATGTTCCTAGTCCTTGACACCTCATAAATCGTTGCTTCCTGAAGGATTGTTGAGGAATACAGAGCAGATGGCCTCTGAGGATCCTTTCAGCTCAGACACCTCTCCTTGAACAGGGGAGAAGCCCCTAGTAAAACCCCAGGGGCACTGGGACTGAGGGTCTGACTGGGGTGCATCCATCCAGAGGGAGCAGCCTGACCAGCACACGTGTCCTCCCTCTGAATGGCCAGGCTCGACCGCCTCAGTGGAGCCTGTTTCCCCGTCTAGCACTGCCCACCATCCCCACCCAGGGGCGTCCTGCAGGCCTGTTCCTCACCTGGTCCTGGGAGCCGCAGGCTTTGTGCCTGCACTCCTGCCCCAGGTGTGTGGGTGTGGCCTTCTGCTCAATCAGTGCTGCCTGAGCTCCTCTGGCTGCTGGCTGCTGGCTGCAGCCAGACGCCGCCCAGGGTTCCTCACGGTGGAGGAGACGGATACGCCCATTAGGACCACATGTGACACACGTGATAGGAGTCAGTGGCGAGGCACAACAAAGTCGTTCTCTGAGTCACAGAAAAAGCAGGTTTACTTTTAAAAAAAGTGTTTTTATTCATTTTTAGAGAGAGAGAGAGTGAGAGAAACATCAGTTGGCTGCCTCCTGCATACCCGCTACTGGGGATTGAGCCTGCAACTCGGGCATGTGCCCTGACCGGAAATCGAACCCGCAACCTCTCAGTGAATGGGACGATGGTCAACCAACTGAGCCACACCGCCCAGGGCAAAATATTTACTTTTTTAATAACATGTTTTGAACTTAGGCAACCCTGGCTTGTTACAGGGACAGGTCACAATACCAGAGCGTGTAGAATACAGCTGATCATCGCCCAGCCCCCTTGTTAGCAGTTCGAGGTGCATTCTGCTAGTCTTCTGTGCTTATGCTGCACGCACAGCACGCCTGTGTGTATTTTAATGAGACTAGGTTACAGGTGCTGTTTTGCCATGTAAGTTTTTCACCTAACAGTGCACCTTAGAGCTCTCTGGGCCTGGCACAGCCTTTCTAACAGCTGCATCCTATTCTCTTGCTTGATTGCACAACCACGTATTTGGGTATTTAGAGTGTTTCTGGCTCTTGATTCTTTGCAGGCAGGTCTGCAGTAAACATCACCACACTCCTGTTTCTTCCCTCTGGTAGATTCCCTGCAAGGGCGGTGTCTGGGGCAAGGGGCTCGTGCATTTGATGGCCAGATGTACCTCTGAGCAGGTCGCATCCGATTATGTTCCCACCAGCAGTTTGTGGGAGTCACGGTGACAGCACTGGCTGGGAGCCTTGCTGCCATTTTGCTAGTCTAGTGGGTAAAAAAAAAATGCTGCAGAAACGAATTTCAACTGTGGAGTTTGAAGATGGCATTGAAAGCAAGACTTAAGCGTAAGGGTAGTTAATAAAGGGAAGGGGTTGACTAGAGGGAATGGCTCGCCAGAGAACAGGGAATAGCACCCTGAGGCTGAGGTGGAGGGTGCAGGGTGGGGCGTGGTGGGATATCAGGCAGGGCATGGAGGCGGGGACCCAGCCGTGGCAGGCCCCGTGCACGAAGCCAGGAATTAGGGCTTTGTGCTGAACGGTGTCTGAGGTTTCGAAGCAGCGTACCTTGATGGTACCTGCGGTTTAATTTATAGGGTGAATGAAGAGGCTAATGCGACTGAGGGAAGATCTTTATTAATTACAGTGTCCATGAGAGAGGCCACACCACCAGGGCCACGTGGGAAAGCACCAGGTTTGGTCAGGAGGCAGAAGGAGCGTGAAAAAACGTGGCCCAAAGCCTGTATTGAGCTTTCCAAGGGGAAGGAAGGCCTGGCAGGAAACAGCCTAGGACTGGCCAGGGTGGATAATGTTGGGGGGCTCTGGGCTAGAGGAGCTGCCCCTAGTTATCTGGCACCTGGTCCTACATGATGAGGGCAGAGGAATGACATGTGAGAGATACATGAGCCCTGCTGGTGTAGCTCAGTGGTTGAACGTTGACCCATGAACCAGGAGGTCATGGTTCGATTCCTGGTCAGGGCACATGCCCAGGTTGTGGCTCGATTCCCCAGTAGGGGGCACACAGGAGGCAGCCAGTTTCTCTCCCTCCCTTCCTCTGTTTGAAATCAATAAAAACATGTTTTATTTTTAAAAATTTTAAGAAAAGGAGAGAGAGAGGAGGTAGTAGGGGGTAGGCCTCAGGGTTAGCTGGTTTGCATTTGAAAGATATGCTTATAGAGGAGTCATTGACTGTGTTAGGAATTAGCATGATCTGGGAGGAACAGTTTTCTCCCTGGCCAGGAATCCTCCCATGATGTCAAAGCATCATAAAATATTGAAAAAGAAAAAAAAAAATCCGATGAACACACAGCGGGGAGGGGCGCTAGAGCCACTGAGTGAGACGTGGAGTCTGAGTGTGAGGGAAACCATCTCTGCCCTCTCCCCGCAGAAAGCCAACAAGGGCCAGAGCCGGGCCATCGAGCGCCTGAAGAAGAAGATGTTTGAAAATGAGTTCTTGCTGCTGCTCAATTCCCCCACCATCCCATTTCGGATCCACAATCGGAATGGAAAGGTCAGGAAGGGTGGGGATGGGACAGAGACAGCCCCCTTCCTCCATACAGGGCTGCCCACTGTGGCTCCCAGCCCTGACCTGTGGGGATCAGGGACTCCGGCCCCCAATTCTCAAGGAGGCTGCCGGGCTCCGGCCCTGGACTCCCTCTCCCCAGTGGTGTGGAGCTAGTGCCCTCTGCTGGCCATCACTGGCACTGCCACTTCTGTCACTGGGCTGCCCAGGAAGGAGGCCCCCCTCCCAGCTGCCTCCTCCAAGCCTGGGGGTACCTGGGTAAGAGGGAGCTTTGTTGGAGCCCTGGGCTACAGGAATGTGCGTGTCTGACCATGGCCGCCCCACTGAATTGTCATCTCCTCTCTTCAGAGCTACCTGTTCCTACTGTCCTCGGACTATGAAAGGTCAGAGTGGAGAGAAGCGATTCAGAAACTACAGAAGAAGGGTAAAGTCCCCACCCACTCTGCCCTGAGGGGTCCATGGCAGCCATGGGCCTGTTGTATCCCCAGCACCTCCAGTCCCATGCCTCCCCTTCAGCCCTCACAGCCACTCCAAAGTGCCAAGGCAGGTGGCACTTCACTGATGTTTCTGAACATCTGAGGCCCAAAGAATTGGTGATTTGCTTAAGGCAGCGGTTCTCAACCTGTGGGTCGTGACCCCTTTGGTGGTCGAACGACCCTTTCACAGGGGTCGCCTAAGACCATCGGAAAACACATATATAATTACATATTGTTTTTGTGATTAATCACGATGCTTTCATTATGTTCAATTTGTAACAATGAAAATACATCCTGCATATCAGATATTTACATGACGATTCATAACAGTAGCAAAGTTACAGTTATGAAGTAGCAACGAAAGTAATTTTATGGTTGGGGGTCACCACAACATGAGGAACTGTATTAAAGGGTCGCGGCATTAGGAAGGTTGAGAACCAGTGGCTTAAGGCATAAAATGAATTCGCAATAGGAGTGGCCTCAGAGTCAAGGATTGCCCCCCACACTCTCCCTGTCCCCATCCCTCTCTCATACACACATACATGAACCTCTTCAGTTGGACTTTCCTATTCTTACCCCTCTGACAGCACCCACAACTATCCCCATGTGAGGGTTCACAAGTCTTTCCCTTTTTTCCCAGTGACCAACTCTGCCCCTAGAATTAAGCTTTTTCCCTGCAATAGCCCCCAGAGAGAGCAGCAGGTCCTAGTGGACCCATGACGATGTTCCTCCCTCTCTTCCCCTCCTCCTCCTGCAGATCTCCAGGCCTTTGTCCTGAGCTCAGTGGAGCTCCAGGTGCTCACAGGATCCTGTTTCAAACTTAGGACTGTACACAACATTCCTGTCACCAGCAATAAAGATGGTAAGATCTGGAACCCAACATTGCCCAATCAGCAGATCTGCTCCCCCCAGGATAGTGTTGTCCTGGGCTGTCCACAAGGACCCAGCAGACACCCAGCTACAAATGGCTGATCTCTGCTCAGCTGGGCTGGGATGACTCAGTGGCCAGGAGCACAGGAAGCTCAAACAGGGGTTGTCTCTTCCCCAGATGGCCCCAACTCCTCCCTGCCCCCCCCCCCCTCTGGCTTCAGAGAAGATTCTGGGACACTGGTCGTCAGATAATGGAAGCAAAAGACAAGCATGGGTGGGGAGTGGGGACAGGAGGAAATGGAGGTGGCTTAGAATAGTGTATAACAAATAAGCCAGAAGTTTCCAGGGATTAGCTCTTGAAAGGCCTTGAATGCCAAGCAAGGGAATTTGTTGTTCAAGAACAGGAGCCTGTGGGAGGTTTTTGAGCAGAGCTGAGGTCGGGGCTGGTCACTGCCCGGAGTGGGTCAGATCTGACTGCCCGTGGGTGCTGGAAAGGGGTTTGGAAGGCAGGCTCTCCTCCACCTATGGGGTATCTGCCCCTGTGTTCCAACGAGGAGGCAGAGATGGACCTTCTCTCGAATTGGCACAGAGTGACTTACGTTGGCTAATTTTTACTTTGAAAGGCGAGGCTGAGAAGGGCGGTCACAGGATAGCAGGACTTGGAGGGAGAGGGAAGGTGCCCCTGGGGAATGTGTGGACTGGCCTCCCAGGCTGAGTGGAGGGGGAAGGGGCACCCCCAGCTCAGGGTCCTGGAAGTAGTGAGGAATGGAAGCTTCTTCATCCGGCCACCAGGTGGTGCTCTCAGCCCCGGGCTTAGGCCGCATCTCCCACCCTTTCTGCGTCCCAGCCAGTCTGGGGTGCGGAGGGGATGAAGCAGAGGAGCCTCTCACCACCCCCGACCCTGGGGCTTTTCTCTCTTGCAGATGACGAGTCTCCCGGGCTCTATGGCTTCCTTCATGTCATCGTCCACTCTGCCAAGGGGTTTAAGCAGTCAGCACGTGAGTGTCCCTGACCACCAGCCCCAGGCCGTGGCCGGGCAGGCCATTGTTCAGCCTGTCACAGAAAGTCCTTTTCATCTAATTTGTCTCCAGTAGAAATTCGGGAGTCAGTTAGACAGGTAATAGTTTCTCCCCATTTGCCAGATGAGAAAACTGAGTCACAGAGAGATACAAAGGACTTCACGCCACTCGGGATCAGAAAACCAGGGCTCCTGACTCCTCTCCTCTCGGCCAGCCCCTTCCCACTCCCTCCTCCTCCTCACGGGGGGTGAGGTCTGCCCTCTGCCCCTCCCTGTACAGTGCATCACACAGAGGTTGTGCCATTGGCTCACACACCCGACGTTCAATACACATTTACGGTGAAGCCCAAGTTCCTGGGTAGAGTGGCCTCCTCTCTCTGTGTTCCCATCACCCCAGGGCTCACCATGGTTACAGCACCTGTCATACTGCTTTGTCACTTAAAATTGGCCTCTCCCGCTGTGAGTTCCTAGAGGGCAAGGAAACCGTTGGATGAATAGGAGCTCAGAAATGCTGACCTGAGTAGTTCATTTCCAGACGCCTGCTGTGTGCCGGTACCTCACTAGGTGCTAGGGAACAGGCAGATGTGGCCACTGTGGAGAAGTCTTGGCAAGGTCAGAGCCTTTTCAAGGGCGTTACCTGCTCTGGTCCTCCTGGCAGCCTGCAGAGTTCACTGATGCCATTCTCGTTTTACGTGAAGAAGCTGAGGCCCGACGGCTCGGGATTTTCCCGGGTGGCCCGGGCAGGTCACATGGGTGGTGGGGTGGAATCCGTGTCTCCCACCACCATGCCCACGCTCTTGTCTTTAGAGCATCCCTTCTCTCAGGGCGGCCAGGACCCCGCACCCACCGCTCGGCTGAGCTGCTTGTACACGTGGCAGCTTCTTGGACCCTCCCCAGACCCATGGAATCCCCCAGGGGGGCCACTGCCCAGGAATATTCCTGGTTAGTAAGCCCCATAGGGCTGTCGTACCCGCCCAAGTCTGCAGCCCACGGAGCTGGACCCTGCGCCTCCCATCCCCACGGTGCCTGGATGTCTCGCCCCTCCTCTCTCTCTCTCTCTCTCTCTCTCTGCTTCGTGTTGGCTGGGATGGGCTTTGTGGTTAGACATGGGGTGAGCTGCTACGAAATCTCTCCTTACCTCCAGGCTGTCTTCACTTCCTCCCTCCCCTGACTGACTCAGATACTCACTCTGACTCGAGGGGGTAGAACTTATGCATCTCGGTGTGGCTTCTCGTCACAGGGAACCCCTGGCATCTGCAGTCAGGCCCGAATGCAGGCACCACGAGCCTCCTGTTTCACGGGTGAACGTGACCAGGCAGAGAGGCTGGTGATTCAGGCAGAGGGAGGATTTGGACCCAGACAATCTGACGCATCCCCATTTTCCCCATGATCTAGCCCGTAGCCCTCGACGGAGGATTCACACCCACCTGTCAGCTGGCAGCCCTCCTGCCCCTCCATCTCTGTCACCGACACTGACTGGCTGAGGCCAGGTGCGGGGGCCTCTGACATTGTTCACCTTTAATCTGCACCCACATCCCCACCTGCTCTGACCCCCCACGTGCCCAGCTGTATCTCCTCTACTTCGCACCCAGCTGGAGACACCTGGGGGGCAGCTCCACCTCCATTCTCACGGAAAACAGCCCAGCTGGGCAACCCCTGGGCCAGAGCTGTATGTCCACCCTCTGGCCTCTGCCCTTTGCCCCTTGAGTAACCCTGCACAGGGTTGGCTGTATGCTCCAAAGCTGACCCCCAACACACACAGTGCCCTGGAGAGCAGCCTTAGCAGCTCCCATGGCGGGGAGAAGGGGGCTGCCAGGGACCCAGCCCTAGAGGGAGCATGTGGACTTGCAGAGTGCCTCGGGGACCACCCAGGGCCTGGGGGACCACCCAGTGCTGTGGCCTGGTCTGTTAGGTCCCAGGGTAGAGGGGAGAAGGGTTTCAGCCTTAAAGGCCATGATTCAAGATGGAAACACTGCCCGGCTGGTGTGGCTCAGTGGTTGAGCATCGACCTATGAACCAGGAGGTCACCATTTAATTGGCACATGCCTGGGCTGCAGGCTCTATCCCCAGTAGGGGGTGTGCAGCCAGTCAATGATTTTCCCATCATTGATGTGTCTCTCCCTCTCCCTTCCTCTCTGAAATCAATGAAAATATATTTTTTAAAAGATTGAAAAACTAGGGAAAGCTCCCCAGACACCCACCCCCAGCCTCCACCACTCAGTTACCTGCAGCACGTGGGGGTGGTAAGAGCTCCATTCATTCACCCCACGGGGGGGCTGGCGGAGAGGAGCGGAGCCCTGGGTTTCTGGTCCTGTGTGATGTTACCTCCTCTTATCTCTCTCTGACTCCATGTTCTCATCTGGCAAATGGGGAGAAGCTGTTAGCGATCTAGCAGGGCTTGCCCACTGTGTGCAGCCCTGCTCCTGGCTAAGGAAACAAGGCTGCTGCTGCCTGGGGTGGCGGCAGTGAGGGGGCGGGAGATAAGAAAGAGACAGAAAAGACATCTGCAGTTACAGTTCCATGCGATGAAGAAAACAACGGAGTGAGCGCTGGGAATGTGGGAGGCGCTTTGGTTGTCTCAGTGACGGGGGCTTCTCCAGCTTCCAGCCCCAGAGGCCAGAGGCCCTCCGGAGACTCCCACCTCAAATGCCAGGCCCACCCTGCTAAGGGACCTGGGATCAGTATGGGGGGGGGGGTGCGGGGAGGGAGGTGCCGGGAGGCCTCAGTGGTGAGGAGGCAAAGATCAGGGGTGAAGGGACAAGGGTCCTAAGCAGGGAGAGCTGGGCAGGTTGGGGAGGAGAGCAGCGCGGACGGAGGCTGGTGGATGAGGCCGGAGGGCAGCACCACCTGAGAGGAGTGCAGAGCAGTGGGAAGAGGCCAGGCTCCCGGGGCTGTGCGGAGGAGCCCGAGGGCAGCCCCTGAAGCGGGGAGGGACGATGTGTTAAACCCCTTTTCCTCGGTGCCTCACTCGATGTGCTTCTGCCTGTCCCCCCTGCAGACCTGTACTGTACCCTGGAGGTGGATTCCTTCGGCTATTTTGTCAGCAAAGCCAAAACCAGGGTATTTCGGGACACGACGGAGCCCAAGTGGGACGAGGTGAGTGGCGGGGGCCGGTGTGCCCCTCAGGGACCCCTGAGCTTGTCACCACCAGCCATGCCCACCCCACTCCCTGTGCTCAGGTGCTGTTGGCTGGGGTTGGCGGGGCCAGCTCTGTCCCTCAGCCCTCTGCCCTGCATCCCTGCTTATTTGACTTCTGATCTTGTGCTTATGTGCAGACACGGGGTCTCCGCTCAGGCCCCAGACCCCACTCCCTCAGTGATTTGGAGGCCCTGGAGCCCCAGAAAGTGAGGACGCTCCTCCCTGCCCCGCGAGGTGGTCCCCGAGGGCCCCCCTCACCCCCCTCACAGCCTTGTGAAATTGGGGCCCCCACGTCCGAGGCTCAGGACCCTGGCTCCATCCTTCCTCAGGAGTTTGAGATCGAGCTGGAGGGCTCCCAGTCCCTGAGGATCCTGTGCTACGAGAAGTGCTACGACAAGACCAAGGTCAACAAGGACAACAACGAGATCGTGGACAAGATCATGGGCAAAGGGCAGATCCAGGTGAGGTCCCGATGCGGCCCCGGCGCCCCGGCAGGAGGTGGTGGGGTTGGGACGGCATCCTTCTCACTGGCCTCCTTGGTCCAGGGGCTTGGCCTTTGTGCCTCGGGTTCCATGCTGGTTTGAGAAGCCGCCCGGCCTGTTGGTTCCCCCTGCGGGAGGTGACATCTCGTTGTGGCCCCAGGTGCCCATGTGTGCCCGGTTCCTGGGGCTCCCGCACCTGGCTCAGGTGGGCCACCCACTCTCCCGCAGGAGAGGGCTCCCTGGTCTTCACTTCCCACCTCTGGTCTCCTGGGGCTTTTCCCAGGCGCACTGCCTGGAGGAGTCTGGGGCTACATCCGCGAGGCGGTGTTTGATGAGCAGTGTCTGCTGTAGGATGTGAGGCCCAGCATTTGGGGGGGCTTCGGATCTGCTGGGTGGCTGAGGGCTGGTCTCTGACTGGTCTCTAGGGCTGCTGGGCCTTACTGGTCCCTAGAGTTCTCCGGCGTGGGGTTGGTTGTGTGGGTCAGGTTAAGGGTGCGCGCGCCTCGGCGGTGTTTCTCGGTGCCCTGTTAATGGATGCGGGGAAAGGGCCTTTTGCAGCCCGAGTCTCTGGAAATTCTTCCAGTTTGGGAAATGGCTGTTCTTCACGTTCCTGTGAAGAGGATGCAGACATGGGCAGGCGTGCAGCCATGCACACCCATCTGGCACCTGGTGTGGCCTCACGCTCAGGACACGAGTGGCTGGTTCGGGGGTCGATCCTGTGACCATGAAGTCAAGGGAGACAATGACTGGCTGCACACAGTGGGGCTGTGGGTGCAGAGAGCTGAGCGATGCTTGTTTGCAGGAAGCGTTGGTTCTCTGATGGTTGAGCTTTAGAGTTTGGTGACTGGCTCTTGGCTGGGTGTTCTTAGCAGCATTGCCCCTTGGTGACCTGTGTGGGCTGCCTGCTCCCCCGTCTCAGGCTCTAGTGCAGCGGTCGCTAACCTTTCGGACCTCATGGACCACTGGTTGGCGACCGCAGCTCTAGTGTTTGAAGTGGGGGGGGGGCCTCCATTTGGTGGGGTCCTGGCCATCTGCCTCATGTTGCCCCAAGTTCCTGAGCACATCTCTTCCTAACTCTGGGGGACCTCTGCCCCCCTCCTCAGCACTGTCTCCAGAGAGATGGTGTTGCCAGGCAACCATAAGTCAGTCCTTCATTATTTTAGTCATGATTTAGGAAAAGGGGACTGAAGAGAGAGAGCTCTCTCTCAATTCAGCCCTGGGAACCCACTTCCTGCGGGGGTAAGGAGTGGGGGGCCCCACGTTCCAGGGCAGGTGGGAGTGACCAGCAGGGATGAGGCTCTGGGCTGGCCCATCTAGCCCAGGAGACACCCAGCAAGAAATATGACCGGCTGCCATGTGCCCTGAACCTGGGTGGCCTTGGGATAGAAGAGTTAAAGGGGTGCCCAGCGCAGCCAACTCAGTGAGTCCCAGGGGCCCTGACCCCTCCAGAACCCAGGGTCCCTCCAGGGCTCGATGGCATTGTCCCCACCTGGACTTCCATCCTATTGCTCCCTCCTCCTCACTTCTGTCAGCCTCACAGCCCCAGGGGAAGCACAGCATAAGTCATTGCATCTCGGAGACAGGAGCAGATGGAGGCCGTGGGGGAGGGGGAGGGAGCCAGGTTATGTTTGGCAAAGCAGAAGCACAGTCTGTTAAGGAAAATGTTTCTGTGTTTAAGCTTCGAGGAATGTTAAATGCCTGGGAGTGATATTAAAAGAAACACAAACCTCCCTGCTGCCAGCTGACCTGGGCCTGTGAGCTGCCAGTTCAGAACCAGCGTCCTCTGAGGGCTTTGAAGTCTCCGGGCCCTCAGCTCCCCGGGGTTCAGCGCTGGTGCAGCCCTTGGCCCTCAGCCACAGAGCGTTGGACAGGCCTTCCTGTGAATTGGGGAGCAGGAGAGGCCTCCTCACCAGGGGTGAGCCAGGCCCTGTGAAGGCCCCATCACCTGTGGCTGCCCTCGGAGATACCAAGGATGACAGGCTGGGGGGAGGGCCTACACCGAGCCGTTCCCACATGGCCAGGCCCCACAGAGCGCTGGGACGGTCTGTTCCCACAGCTGCCGCCACCTCCCTTCCCGCCACGTGTCCAAGGAAAGGAATCTGGTGCTCGGTTCTGCTCCCCTTCTGCAGGCGCCCGGGATGGGGCTGAAGGTGGCCTGGCAGTAGGGCCGGGTCCTCGGGGATGTTCAGGTGGCCTGCAGAGAAGGCAGGGGAAAGGCCCACCCGGTGCCCCCTCCCCGCCTCTTTCTAAACCCCTTCTGGCTCAGCCCCTCCAGACAACAGCCAGGGACCCCACCTCCTAAGCTGTAGGCATTTGCTCCAATAGTCTCTGGCTCTGGGTTTGCTTGAGATGGCAGTGGGGCCTGGGGCTGAGGGGCGGGGGAGTGGCATTTAGTGACAGGCAGATGGCAGTGCTCATCACCAACGTGTGTGTCCAGCTTTGCGTTCTCGGAGGCCCATTCCCAACATTCTCTCTTGACCCTTGCAACAGCTCTGCAAGGAAAATGACAACCGTATTCTCCCCATTTTACAAATGCGTTCACTGAGGCCCAGGTGCCCCTGCTGACAGTGCACAGGAAAGGCCACGCTCTCTCCCTTGTGCTGTGTCACTGTGTCCCAGGTCTTCATCAGGGAGTCACCCGGCCTGGGTGAGGGGCGCTGGCATGGCTTGTAGCCTGAAGGAGGAGTCGGGGTGGTATTCCGCCTTAGCATCCTGCTTTATGACACAGGGTGAGCTGCAGTCCTCTTACCTCTGGGCAGGAGACATATCTGTCTGGTGCACCTGAGGGAAGCATGCATGCAAAGAGCCAGGGACAGGGACTTCTCATCTGCAGTGTGCCCCACTGCTCCGAGGGGTGTACGGGCCTGGCCTCAAGGAATCTACCACCAGTTTGGAAGACAAGTATATCAATACTAGAGGCCCGGTGCACAAAAAATTTGTGCACTCGGGGGGGGGAGAGGGGGTCCCTCAGCCCGGCCTGTGCCCTCTCGCAGTCTGGGACCCCTCAGGAGATAACGACCTGCTGGCTTAGGCCCGCTCCCGGGTGGCAGAGGGCAGGCCCAATCCCTAGATGCAGCCCCTGGTCGGGCTCAGAGCAGGGCCGATTGGGGAGTTGGGGCGCCGCCCCCTGTCATGCACAGAGCAGGGCATTGGGAGGTTGCGATGCCACCTCTAGTCACACTCAGGGTAGGGCCGATTGGGGGGTTGGGGCACCGCCCCCTGTCACACTCAAGGCAGGGTCGATGGGAGGTTGCAGCGCCACCCCCTGTCACGCACAGAGCAGGGTCGATCAGGGGGTTGGGGAGCTCCCCCCTGTCACGCACAGAGCAGGGCTGATCAGGGAGTTGGGGCACTGCCCCCTGTCACGCACAAAGCAGGGCCCATCAGGGAGGTTGGGGCTCCGTACCCTGTCACACACAGAGCAGGGCCGATCAGGGGGTTGAGGAGCTCCCCCCTGTCACTCACAGAGTAGGGCCGATAGGGGAGTTAGGGCACCGCCCCCTGTCACACACAGAGCAGGGCGGATCAGGGGGTTGGGGCACCACCCTCTATCACCCACAGAGCAGGGCCGATCAGGGGGTTGGGGCACCGCCACTGTCACACTCAGGGCAGGGCCGATGGGGAGGTTATGGCTCTACCCCGTCACACACAGAGCAGGGCCCGTGGGGGGGGAGGGTTGGGGCGCTGCACCCTGTCACACACAGAGCAGGGCCAATCAGGGGGTTGGGGCGCCACACCCTGTCACGCTGATCCCGGTGCCGGGAGGCCTCGCGGCTCCGCTGATCCCGGTGCTGGGAGGCATATTACCCTTTTACTATATAGGATAGAGGCCTGGTGCACGGGAGGGGGCCGGCTGGTTTGCCCTGAAGGGTGTCCTGGATCAGGGTGGGGGTCCCCCTGGGGTGCCTGGCCAACCTGGATGACGGGATGATGGCTGTTTGCAGCTGGTCACACCCTCTTCAGGGTGGGGGTCCCCACTGGGGTGCCTGGCCAGTCTGGGTGAGGGGCTGAGGGCCGTTTTCAGGCTGGCAGGTGACTGAAGCTCCCAGCCTGTCCTTTTTTCTTTTTTTTTTATTCTGGGCCAGCTTTAGCTCTGAGGCTTGGCTCCAGCTCTGAGGCCTTGACTGCTGAAAGCAGGTATCTGGTTTGTTTGGGTTCTATAATTGTAACACTGTTGCCGTCCTGCTCACTCCAGCTCTGAGATCCCGGCTGGCTGAAAGCAGGGATCTGTGTTGGTTCTATAATTGAAACAATGTTGCGGTCCTGCTGGCTGAAGCCCGGCTGGCTGAAAGCAGGTTTCTGGGGTTTTGTTTAGCTTCTATATTTGTAACAATGTTTCATAGAGAGCAAGCTCAGAGGCTGGCAGCGGCAGGCGGGGAACGTTGGCTTCCTCCATCACTGGAGCAAGCAAGCCTCCTGTTCGCTTCAAGCTGCCTGGCTGCTGGCCGCCATATTGGCTGGCAGTTAATTTGCATATCGCCCTGATTAGCCAATGGGAAGGGTAGCGGAGGTACGGCTAATTACCATGTTTCTCTATTATTAGATAGGATGTGTCTCCCCGGGGAGAGCAAGGCAAGATGACAGTAACGATGATGATTATATCAGAGAGCGGACTTTGAGCCCAGCACGGGGCTGAGGCTCACAGCGTTGTCTCGGGGGGACCTTCAGAGTGCCCTGGGATAGGAAAGTGACCCCAGTTTTAAAGATGAGAAAGCTGAGGCATAAAGGGTTCAGTCATGTGTCTAAGAGCAGGCAGCCAGGGGGCAGGGCAGCCAGCGCTGGAAGCAGCTGGACCCGGACCCTTGCCTTGCCCTCCCCGGGGCGCTCCTGTCTCCCACCGTTCCACGCGTAGTAAGAGGGACACGTGGGCCACAGGAATTCAAAGAAGGAAAGAGCCTCATGGGCTGCAGTTAGGGAGGCTTCCAGGGGGAGGGGGAGCAGGAGGGAGTGGAGAGCACTGGGTTTTTTAAATTCCAAAA